GCTGTGTCTGTGATCAGGAGAATTGTTTTAACACTGTTGCCAGTATGTTGAAATTTTAGAAACACAAAGGCAGATATTTCTTCATTTAATGTATTTAAGACGTTCTCTAAAGCCAGAATCAAGACCACTGATCTCTAAACAGTTTCTGTCCTATAAATCAGTGTCTGGCTTACCAAATTGGGGGTTGAGAGGGAACTGCAGGAGGCTGAGTTTATGAAAAATTAATGATTGATTAAATTGTGAAAATATAAATACAATTAAAAAAACACTTTTCAACTGGTGAATCAATGGTGCATAATGAAAGAACTGAGCCTCCAATATAGATGATGATGATGATGATGATGATGCTGATTCAAGAGATGTGAATGTGAAGCGTCACCTAATACAGTCAGTGTAACAGCAGCACTGATGTCTGATCTCTGTGAGTTTGATCTCTCTCCTCTACAGCTGTATTGACCACTGAGATGGACAGAAGATGCTGTGACACTAAACTGTATTGATTTTGTTGTATATGGATAGTATGGACTGTATTGATAGTAAGGGTATCCATCTTTAATCCAGCTGTATTTGATCCACTGAATGTTTCCTCCTGTCTGTATGTCACATGTGAGAGTGACTGTCTCTCCAGTGAACACTCGCTGATCTGGACTCACCTTCACTACAGGCTTTGGCCTCTCTGGATTAATGCACAAAGTAATCAATATTGATGAAAACAGAGAAATGCAGTAAATTACAGATCGTCCTGGTTACATACTCACGTTCCCCGAATAGGGAACGGAGACGTGTGTCTGTATAAACAGATTTGGGAGTGCTTTAGACGACCAATCACTTCTGAAGACATATAAACAGGCCAATGAAATGCCAATTCAATTGGCGGAGCTTAGTTCCACAGCTGAAACTGATGAGCCAATTAGAACTATATCAGTCGACTGTGTGAGTTAGCTCGTCAGAATTTTGCCTGCTGAAAAGCCGATCGCTCAGCTCCCAGCTGGAAACTCGGGTGCTGTGGCAGTGGAGACACACGTCTCCGTTCCCTATTCGGGGAACGAGGGTTACTTACGTAACCAGGACATTCCCCTTCATAAAGGAACTCCTATGTGTGTCTTTATATACAGACTTTGGGAGACTGTATGGAAAGCACCACTGCAGCCAAAGCCCGTTGCGCTCCTGATGTGTAGTTTGCCAAGCCAAAGTGTAAGCTCACTGACATCACCAAGAGCACAACCTTCCAACGTCTCCTAGACCCAACATATTACCATTACATGGGAATAAATGTTTAATGTTAATTCGGGAGTCGTAAGTGTGCTTTTACCTAGCTAATATAGACTAGGGATTTTTGGAAATACGACAGTTTGTTGGGAAAGCGTCAGTCCCCGCAGGGGGAGGACGCAGCTGAGACCACCTGCTACCCAGATAGGGGAGACCTGATGGTAAGAGACATATGGACTAGCCCTAATGAGGGGGAGTGCTACATATGGTAAGCTGGTTAGCAGTTTAGGGAAGACACGGGACCGCCTAATAAGGGGGAACACATCGTGGTAATAATGCATATGGCATCACCAAGTAGGGATGCACATAGCTGGCACCGATCCTCAATATGCGTGTAGACCAAATGGGCTTGACCGCACATTGAGCCATGCATTCACTCCGGCTCCGCTTACCCAATAACCGGGAGGAAACTGGCTCCACTCGAAGATTATAGAACCTCGCGAATGTGTTAGGTGTTGCCTAACCCACAGCTCTGCAGATATCTGTGAGAGAGGCACCACGTAATAATGCCATGAGGAAGCGACACCTCCAGTAGAGTGCGCTCTCACGTTAGGAGGGCGTGGCTCGCCCTGGTATTGATAAGCGAGGGCGATGGCATCAACCAACCAGTGGGCCAACCTCTGTTTTGATACGGCACTTCACTTCTGCCGACCACCGTAACAGATAAAGATCTGGTCACATGATCTTTCATCTTGCGACTGTTTCACGTAAAGGGGCAAAGCGCGAACGGGTATAAACAGTGAGTGGGTTGAGCCTGCCTCCTCTGAAGGCAGCGCTTGCAGGTTCACCACCTGATCTCTTAATGGAGTGGTAGGAACCTTGGGCACATAGCCAGGCGAGGTCTCATGACAATGTGAAAGTAACCGGGCCTGATTTTAAGGCACGATTCGCAGACCAAAAATGCCTCCAGATCCCCAACTGGAGTTTCTGCTCCAGCACCGGTAAAAAGCGGTGGAGAGCTAGATACACTGCCAACAGCTCCAGGCAGTTGATATACCAATGCAGACGAGGTCAGGACCACGAACCCGCGGCTTCATGCTCGTTGAACACGGCCCCCTAGCCCGTGCTGAAGGCATCTGTAGTTACGACAACATGCCTGGATACTAGCCCTAGGGGCACTCCGGCCCGTAGAAAGGCCAGATCTGTCCAGGGGCTGAGGGTGCGGAGACACAGCGGAGTGATGCACACCCGGTGCGTATCCACTCCCCATGCCCGTCTGGGGACTTAATCGCAGAGCCAACCAACGCTGAAGTGAAAGTTTTTGGACATGATGAAATACAGGCTGGAAAACCCGGACCTCATCTCGGCTGGAGGGACCTGCTTGATTGCATCCCTTACCAGGAGGACAGCAATCTCCTCTCGCAAGACAGGAGCACACTCGGGGATAACCCTTGTGGAAAGGACACCCGTGAACTTGGGAGGGCGAATAGTAAACTGAATCGCATAGCCGAGTCTGACCATTCGTATGAGCCACCGCCACGCGCTGAGAGGAGCTAACCAAGCCAGCAGAGCATGCGCTAATGGCACCATCGAATTGATCACTGACTTGCCAGCGGAGGGGCAGCTTGGGATGGGAGTGCTCATCCCGGGAAGAAGTGCATCCAGAGAAAGAGCTGAAAATAAGGCAATTTCTCTTACCTTCCTCCCTGGATCTCACGGTGAGGCCGGAGTGAGAGAAAGGAGTCTGTTCTGCTGCACTCTGAGGGCCTAAGGCGAGGGGTCCCGGTGCTGTGAGCTGGAAGGTGGAGCGTCCCAGACTGGCAGTGCTCGGGTTTCCGCATGCGGAGAGAGAGGAAACTGCTCTTTTGGAAATTTAGTTGCCGCTGGCCCAGAGGCCGCCAGCGATGAGTTTAGAGTCGTTGTGGACTGATGTGATAATCCTCGCCCCCCCACCGAGGAAAAAGTAGGTCCCCTCTTCTTCGAATGGCCTGTCCCGGGAACACTTCACGGTCCGTTTCCTGGGCTAAACAGCTCCCTGGGGCGGTGGCGTCGCAGTCCCGCAGGAGGCTCGGCGTTGCCCTCGGCGAGGAGCTGCCGCAGCGGAAGGGTCAGAGGAGCAGTTTTCCAAGCCCACTGATAGATGACTTCACCCATCGCCTTGGACTTCTCTTTCACCGTGGAGAATTCCTGGGTGAACTCCCCAACGGTGTCGCCGAACAGGCCAGCCTGGGATATGGGAGCTTTAAGAAATCGAACTTTGTCAACATCACTCATATCAGCCAAGCTCAGCCAAAGGTGGCATTTCTGGACCACTAATATGGTCATCGTCTTCCCCAGGGCACGAGTAGCCGATTTGGTGGTCATGAGAGCATAATCGGTTGCCGTGCGGAGCTCATGCAGCAAGCCAAGGGAAGAACCTCCCTCCTGCATCTCAGCCAGCTTCTTGGCTTGGTAGCGTTGATAGGTGCCTGTAGCCTGCAGAGCGGAGGCAGCCTGACCTGCCGCAGTGTAGGCTCTGGCCATGAGAGTATCAGATAACCTGCATGCCTTGGAAGGGAGTTTGGGCGAATCTCCACAAGTGGAGCGGCCTGGGAAATCGCCTTATATCCCCTGGCTGCTTCATCATAGAGGGAGGTGAGAGCGGGAGTGCATGAGGACCAGGCAGAAAAAGGTGCCCTCCATGCCTGTGTGAGCTCTCTGTGTACCTCCGGGAAGAAGGGGACGAGGGATCTAGAAGGCTTTTTTTTTTTCACCTCCACGTAGCACACGTGTAAGCGGTCCGGCCGCGGTTCTCAGGGACGAGCCATCTCCAGCCACACGGCCGAAGCAGCCCGGTATAACATGGCAAACATGTCCGATTTCAGATCTGTAACCATACTGACAACCCCGGAGGTTGGTAGGGGGTCCGGATCCTCCTCAGAGCATGTCAACCCACCCTTGGATGCAGTGATGGACATCACGCCCCAATCTAATGAAAGTGCAGCCAGTCCTGAGGATTGATCAGCGCTCCCACTCGAAGCAGAAACAGAGCACACTGATGAGGAGCGAGTGGTCCGCGGGCCTGAAGGCGACGGATTAGCCCCCACTGTAACCCTCAGGCCTGCTCGAGTGCTAACCACTTGGTGGGGAGCAGCAGGGGTGACTTACCCTAATAAAAGTGCTTGCCGCTACCTCAGTAACAGCAACAGTCAAGCCATCGCAATGCGGGCAAGAACTGTCCGCGAGCACCGCATCAACATGTTGGACCCCCAAGCATGTGATGCAACACTCGTGCCTGTCATCCAGGGCGAGAAAACCACCGCATCCAGAAACGCACATCTTTAAAAAGACGCGCTGCACGACAGTGTGCTCTCTTAGGGAATTCTGCTCTTTGTAGAAAACTGCTCTTTTAGATCACCAGCAAAACACCAAAGGGACGAGAAACCCAGCTCAACCGCTGCTAAAACGTCTTCTCCCACACTGGTGAAGTTAAGGCTTTCTTCAATGTTGAAAGTCAGCTCAGCAGAAGGGTTCTTCAGTCTCAGATCAGGTCTGAAGCAACAATTCTGACGAGCTAACTCACACAGCCGACTGATATACCCCTAATTGGCTCATCAGTTTCATCTGTGGAGCTAAGCTCCGCCAATTGAATTGGCATTTCAGTGGCCCGTTTTCATATCTTCAAAAGTGATTGGTCGTCTAAAACACTCCCAAATTTTGTTTATACAGACACACGTAGGAGTTCCCTTATGAAGGGGAAGTAGTCCATCTGAATTTGCAATGATTCATTTTTTGGACACTTTACATAGATGTCTCATGGATATGTGTTAGTAAAGAGAGTTTATGAGGACAATAATATTCAGCTCACCCGTCACCGAGAGAGAAACAGCAGAGCTTGATTGTGATGAGTTTGGTCTTCCAGATCTCTGTCCTCTACACCAGTACTGACCCTGATCAGACTCAGCAGCTCCTCTGATAGTGAGAGTGTCTCTGTTTACAGTGTAATGACCATCAGACTGTAACTTTACTCTGTTTCTGTCTTTATACCACTCATATGTCCAGCCACTGTGATCAGACTCAATCACACACGTCAGATTGACTGTCTCTCCAGTGAATACAGCACTGTCTGGTGTCACAGTCACTGTAGATCTGGGTGAAGCTGAGGAGAAAGACAGAATCATAAAGTGACTCAAGCAGCTCTTTCAGTCAAAATATTCATTTAAAGTTGTTTGGCTGTGTCTGTGATCAGGAGAATTGTTTTAACACTGTTGTCTGTATGTGGAAATGTTTAAAAACACAAAGGCAGATATTTCTGTTTTTGATGTATTTAAGACATTCTCAAGCCAGAATCTAGACCACTGATCTCTAAACAGTTTCTGTCCTATAAAGCAGTGTTTATCAAACTGGGTTGAGAGAGAACTACTAATGTTGAGTTAATAAAAGTAAATAATTAATTAAATTGTTAAAAAAACAAAAAACACTTTAACACTACTGCATAATGAAAGAACCGAGCCTCAAATAATGATGTGAAATGATGATTGTAGAGATGTGAATGTAGCAAGTGCAAAACAGAAAGGTAAAAATATTTGTTATTTTGTAATTCCACTTGTCATGACCATATTTGGGGTTTCCTGTCTCCATGTTGATTTGGGTAGTGCGCGCGCTTCGCTTTTCCCCAGTCTGCATGAGAATCGACAGCGGTAGGTCACACAAGTGTATGCAGTGATTTAATGTGTCATATTTCGTTTAACTAATGAATCCTGGAGATGTAACTGTATAATTGTGATGTCCTGTTTGTGATGTATACACAGATGCTTGTCAATTATTTTTCATTATGTTTTGCTATTTTTCTCTCATAGTGCGAGTGAATACATCACTACACGCTGTTAGGCTGCACAAGTCCTCTTATATGTTCCATTGTTTTCCATATAAACAAGGACGTGATATAAGTGTGGTTTGTTTATAAGCTAATTTCGAGAGGATCATGTGCTTATGATTGAACACAACTGGTACGTCATTAGCTCCAAATATTGCACCAATCAGATGAATACTGACACGTTATTAATAACAAGAGCTTTCTACTCCAGTCATCTTCGTCTTGAAGAATCCTTCCTTCCACCCCTACTCCTCCCCTTCTCTGAAAGGGCGGCACAGTGGCCCAGTGGTTAGCACTGTTGCCTCACAGCAAGAACGCTGCTGGTTCGGCCCCTCTCCGAGTCGGTGGCGTTTCTGTGTGGAGTTTGCATGTTCTCCCCGTGTATGCATGGGTTATCTCTGGGTTTCCCGGTTTCTTCCCACCGACCAAAAACTTACACACTCTCAGAAATAAAGGTACATGAGTTGTCACTAGGGTGGTACCTTTTCAAAGAGTACACATTTGTACTTAAAGGGTCCATATTGATACCTCAAAAGTATATATGAGTACCTAAACATTTTAAGAGGAACACTTTGTACTTTTTAAGTAATAATATGTACCTTTAAAGTATTAATATGGACCTTTAAAGTACAAATGTGTACTCTTTATAAAGGTACCACCCCATTGACAGCTCATGTACCTTTATTTCTGAGAGTGCACCATAAGTAAATTGACTACTTCAAATAGCATCTTAAGGCAACTCTTCAGTATATCTCAGCACGCTCACAAGCAGGGGAGTTCTCGAGACCTCCCTGAGCTCAAATTCTCCTCTCTCCTTTCAATCCCCGTGCTCAAGGATATTCTGGGCTCAGGGCTCTTTGCCGGAACAGCATGCTAAACACGCTTTTTTTTATTCATCATCAGCTAAGTGTGAACTCTCTTTTTTTTTTTTTTATAAACTTTATTTATTGAACACAAGTGGAAAGCATTCGTTGTATACAAATGTCCAATATCTGCTTTTCTTTTTTGAACACTTTTGTAAACATTCAACCCCAAAACCCCCCACCCATCCCACCCATCCAAACACATAGCCACTTTTCTTGTAAAACGTATAACAGAAGACGGAGCAATAAAAAAATAAAATAAAATAAATAAAATAATAATAATAATAAACAAATAAAATAAAAATAAAATATTAACAATAAAACAAAAATAATGATGATAGTACAATTTGAGATACAGTCATAAATGCTTTCAAATAAATAAATAAATGAAACAAAATAAATACATTAGCTAGTTACATCAATTATAATGATGTGCTACCTACTTCTTGGTTATTATGGTTTTAGTTGTGCTGAGGTTAAACCAATGCGTCTAGTTTAAGGCATGACGGTTCCGGAGAAAAAATGCTAGACTAAAAGAAAAAAAAATAATAATAGTAATTCCAACCATAAAATGATTTCTTAAATGATCACCTCCAGAGGTGTTAAATCATCAAAATAATTTAGTAGTGGCCTCCAATGAATATAAAACTTGTGAGGCGAGCCTCTGAGAGAGAACTTAATCTTCTCCAATTTCAAAAGACTTAAGATGTCGTGTAACCAAACTTTGATTGAGGGTGGTTGTTTCGATTTCCACATTAAAAGAATTCTTTTGCGAGCAACAAGGGAGGAAAAGGCGATGACATTATTTTGAATGTTTGTGACATGAAGATCATCTGGGGGTTTTCCAAAAAATAGCGATGTGAGGGTTTGGGTTTAGATTAATGTGCAAGATATCTGAGATTGCCTTGAAAAATAACCGCCAGAATTCAGACAATTTAGGGCACGACCAGAACATATGAGTGAGGTTACATGGGGTCTGTGAGCACCTATTACATTTATTATCTAATTTTTCTGGATAGAGCTTTGAGAGTTTCTCTTTGCTATAATGTAGTCTGTGGAGGACCTTAAATTGTATGAGTGATAGTCTGGCACAACTAGAAGATGAATTTACAGCATTTAAGGCCTCCTAAGTGCGAACTCTTGAAAGGCAAGAATTCATATGAGGTGTCATTAATTTTAACACAACGCAGAAAACATTACGTTACATGAACATGAAGCCTCACCTGATACAGTCAGTGTAGCAGCAGCACTGATGTCTGATCTCTGTGAGTCTGATCTCTCTCCTCTACAGCTGTATTGACCACTGACAGACACAGAATCAGCTCTGAATCTCAACTCTGCTGCTGATGTTGTTCTGTGTGGATTGTGAGTGTGTCCATCTTTAATCCAGTTGTATTTGATCCACTGAATGTTTCCTCCTGTCTGTATGTCACATGTGAGAGTGACTGTCTCTCCTGTGAACACTCGCTGATCTGGACTCAGCTTCACTACAGGCTTTGGTCTCGCTGCATTAATACACAAATTAATCAGTATTGATGAAAACAGAGAAATGCAGTAAATTAAAGATCTAGTCCATCTGAATTTGCAATGATTCATTTTTTGGACACTTTACATAGATGTTTCCCCCCAAATCCTCATATAAAACAACTGAAATGTGTCCAATGTGTTGCTTATTTAAAGATCATAATAAAGCTTATAAAACTACTCCAGCATTATTAGAGTTAGTGTGGAAATATGAAAATGCATATTAAAGCAGATTTTATTCAACTAATACTTGCACAATAATCCCTAAATTAAAATACACGGGACACAGAAAAAAACATACATAAAGCTGAATTAAGTGTAGAATTGTCAAAGTCAGCTTTATTGTCAATTCAGCCACATGTACAAGACATATAGAGAATCGAAATTGCGTTACTCTCAGACCCAAGGTGCTTAACATTAATATAAAAATATATATATAAAAGTAGTAGAGTTTAAGAAAAAGAAAATTTACAGTATATACAATGCACATAAAATATGGTGTAAAGAATAAACATGGGTAATAAATTTGTAAACAATACAGTGACATTAAGGGCATATAGCAAATGAGCTACCGATGTCGAGCAGAAATGTTCGACTTTATGCGTGCTTAAGGACAGATAAACGTGACGTTGACGTACAATAACACTTCGTTGTACAAGACGAAGAACACAAAAACACCGTTTTGTCGGGAGAGAGAGAAGCTGCAGAGTGTGCACGCGCCGCCATCTTGCGGCGCTTGCACACTCTTTTCCCTCTTGGTGCAGTTCGTTTGTGTAGTAAGAGATCATTTAATTCTGAAATGGGTATGTGTTAGTAAAGAGAGTTTATGAGGACAATAATATTCAGCTCACCCTTCACTAAGAGAGAAACAGCAGAGCTTGATTGTGATGAGTTTGGTCTTCCAGATCTCTGTCCTCTACACCAGTACTGACCCTGATCAGACTCAGCAGCTCCTCTGATAGTGAGAGTGTCTCTGTTTACAGTGTAATGACCATCAGACTGTAACTTTACACTGTTTTTGTCTGTATACCACTCATATGTCCAGTCACTGTGATCAGACTCAATCACACACTTCAGATTGACTGTCTCTCCAGTGAATACAGCACTGTCTGGTGTCACAGTCACTGTAGATCTGGGTGAAGCTGAGGAGAAAGACAAAAAACATAAAGTGACTCAAGCAGCTCTTTCAGTCAAAATAATCATTTAAAGTTGTTTGGCTGTGTCTGTGATGAGGGGAATTGTTTTAACACTGATGCCTGTATGTTGGAAATTTATAAATACAAAGGCAGATATTTCTGTTTTTGATGTATTTAGGACGTTTTTAAGCCAGAATCTAGACCACTGATCTCTGCACAGATTCTGAAAGCAGTGTTTATCAAACTGGTTTTAGAGGGAACTGCTGGAGGTTGAGTTAGTCTATCTGAATTTGCAATGATACATTTTTTTGACACTTTACATAGAGGTTTTCCCCCAAATCCTCATATAAAACAACTGACATATGTTCTTTAAGTTGCTTATTTAAGGAGCCTAATAAAGCTTGTAAAACTAC